TACGAGCTAATCTCCGAATCTATTGGACCGATTTAAATAAAATTTTGCGTGGTGGTATCTTATATCCCCGGGCAACATCTTAGATACTTTTTATCCCGGAAAATTAAATAGTTCCCGTGGGAGAGTTAAAAAACTATAATAACTTTTTCAGCTTAGTACACAAAAACTACTGATTGAATTTTAATAAAACTGTACAATAATATACTTCATACATGACAATAACAAATTGGCCAATTTTTATCCCGGAAAATTGAAGGGTTCCCGTGGGACAGTAAAAAAACTATTGTAACTTATACTGCTTAGTACACAAAAACTACTAATTGGATTTTGATGTAACTTTACATTAATATAGGTCATACATCAGAATAACAAATAGGTTAGTTTTTATCCCGGAAAAATGTACGGTTCCCATGAGATAGATGTTTTCGTTTATTTTTAACGTATTATGTACACATCATAGACCCCAAAACAATAGTTATTAAAAAATTGTCTGTTTGTCTGTTTGCCTGTATATCTGTTTGTCTGTTTTCAACCGACTTCAAAAAGGAGAAGGATCTCAATTCGACTGTATTTTTTTTTTATGTTTGTTACCTCAGAACTCTGTCATTTATTAACCGATTTGGACAATTTTTGTGTTGTTTGAAAATGTATACCACCACTAAGGGTGGAAAAATAGCTAATGATGGATTTAACCTACTTCTAATTGTCATATTGACTTGAAACTTTGCAAGTGTGTCTATTTCCGTTGATAGTACAGTGGTTCGGTATTGTTGACCTGATCTGATGGTAAGGCCAGAAGATGGATAGGTGGAACTCTTCAACGGCTAATAGTAGATACTTTGAGTTTGGGCTTATTTTGTTTGATTTGACAAGCCTAACACGTTAGAATTCTTACTTTGCTACAACTGTCTACACTAAAAAGGGAAAAATAAAAACTTTTTAACAAAAAAATAAAAACCGACTTCAAACAAAAGCACTAAAAAGTAAAAAATAACTGATTGGTAGTTTTCATTTACTATACATACCTAATCAAATAATTTCGAAGTCGGTGTGCTTTGGCTAAGTAATTAAAGCCTACCTATTAAATACATACCTAATCAAATAATTTCGAAATCCGTGCCAGCCCATACAAAGCAAAGCATACCGACTTCGAAAATATTTGATTAGGTATGTATAGTAAATGAAAACTACCAATCAGTTATTTTTTACTTTTTAGTGCTTTTGTTTGAAGTCAGTTTTCATTTTTTTGTTAAAAAGTTTTTATTGTATGCGCGTTTCACGCGAAAAATAATGAACCGATTTCAACGAAATTTGGTGAAGTGATAACTTATTACTTGAGTCAACTTTTAGGATACCTTTTACTTAAAGAAAATCTTTCTTTCTCACGGGAAGATAAAATGACTAGTTTTATCGAGTTCTCCCTAGAAACCTTCCGCTGGCTAAACCTTAAGACATACATACATCAAAACAATATACTAAAAAATTGTAGGTCTTGAAAAGTCCGACAGGAAAGTTCTGAATAGTATATGTATATCTCCTAAGCAATATCTATGTCTTATACCTTTAATAAAACTAACTTAGTCAAATCGATGTACGCGTTTCACGCAAAAAGTACTGAACATGAAAATTTTAATTAAATTTTGTATAGTGATAACTTAATACTCGGGTCAACATTTAGGATAGCTTTTACGACAGGCAAATTATTTCTTCCTACGGGAAAACACAATAACTGGTTCTATCGAATTGTCCTTAGAAATTTATGTGGCTAACGCTGGCTTAACCTTAAGAGATAGATCAAATCATTGTAGAAGAAAATTGTATGTCTTAAAAAGATGATAGAAAAGTTGTCAATAATATATGTCTATCTCCTAAGGTACACTCGCTATAACTATTTTCATTATTACATATTACTGTTTTATTATACGTTATTTATTCTATCTATAAATATGATAAAACTATAGAGGTCGAATGTCTGTACATAGAAAAAAATACTAAAAACCGAGTCAGTTATATTCTTATATCCCGTAAGAAGAAAAATAGCACAAATCCAGATTTCTTCAAATTTTTTTTCTCTGTCTGTTTGTCTGTTTGTATGGGCTAATCTACGAAACTATTGGACCGATTTAAATGAAATTTTTCATGGTCGTACCGTATATCTCCGGTCAACATGTAAGATACTTTTCATTCCGGAAAATTAAAGAGTTCCCGTGAGATAGTCAAATAACTATAGTGACTTATACAGCTTAGTACACAACAAGTTATGCACTTAATTTAGTAAAATTTAACATTTTGATACTTTATATTGCCTGTGAAACAACAGGTTACTTTTCATCCCGGAAAAATGAATGGTTCCCGTGGGAACTAATAGATCTCTATTAGTGTCGTGTATCCGCTAGTAATAAATATTAGAATTAAATTAATATAAACAATCTTTTATAAAAACTATTTCGTCTACAAAATATGTGCAAGAAATCCTAGAATTGTTTAATTGAATCAGAAATTATGTTATGTCTGGAAATGTGTTAGCATTAATGATAACCTTAGATATGATATGAAAGTATCAATTTGCAAAATTATTCTAGATTGTTTCAATAAACTCTCATATTCTTAAACGTAATAGAAAATCGTAATATCATAAGTAACTAATTAAATAATAATTAATATATTTATGCATTATGGGGAATAACCAATGATTCTTCGAACACCATGTCGAATATCGATTCAAAATCGACGTTCGAATACTTAGATAATAGGCACGCCTCGTGTGACTTCACATGAACTGTAACATATTGTGCCAAGACACAAAGCATGCTTTTTATCCCAACAAAAATCACAATAATCGCTTCGTTGCCGAACAAAAGAAGTGCTCTTGTAATATTTCACAGTTAAAGAAATAACAAAAGTATAGAAGAAGAGAAATATTGTGACTTTGTAAGATTCCTGGAAGCTATTCAAAATAACGACTTTTGAATCGTCACCAAAGTAGACAGTAAGTAAAAACGTCAAATTAAAAAGTAATCATTGAATTTCTGGAGATGGACTTTATGTTAAAACTAATAAAGCAAAGTAAAAAAGAATCCCTTAAAACAGTTCTTTTTAAAAATCGGTTAAATATAAATAAAACACTTAAAATAAACCATATAAACGTTTCTGAAATTTTTGTGTAAATAATCCTGGGGATTAAGTATATCACAAGACTTTATCTATAACTAACACCGTCCAATACGTATCGTAATGAAGTAATGGTTGCTTATAGATATTACTTTTTAGTTTACTATTATTGTAAAGTATTATTATGTTGTATAAAGAACTCAAAATTATTAATTTAAGAGATACTATACTATTAATAATATAAATATGAAAACATACGTATTTATAACATTCTTACATTCTAAATTGGAAATGCGTATTAATGTATTATATGTTTATGTAGAATTTTAAATGGAAGAAGACATGGTTTAAACCTAAATTATTAATAAAAATATGTATGTATTTAAAGCTATATATTAGAGATGTGCCGACTATAACTTTTGCCGACTAGCCGACTTGTTTGTTGGAAAAAAGCCGACTAATCTACGGACTAGTCGGCCTAGCCGATCATTGCTTTCCGCGATGTTTGTCGCGCTTTGCATCTCTTACACGCGTCGCGCGTGCGGTCATGATTGTGTGTTTACTTTGCATTTTTTGTGTTTGTGCGAACAGATTTTGTGTTTACTTTGCATTTTGTTATTTGTGTTTTTTTCAAATAAAACAGTCGGTGAATTGTATAGCTAAGACAGTTTGTATTAGTAAAAGTACCTACATAATTGAAATTAAGTCATGTCAATACTTTCTTAGATTTACGCAAATATTTTACATCTATTATACAGATAAATAAAATTAAAAGTCTATTTTTAATGTCAAAATAATAGCTTTTTACTAAATGCATATGAAATTATAAACGGTACTAATAAAATTATAACAATTTTTAAAAAAATTGTTTCTCGGTCTGTATGTTTGTTTGTTCCGGCTAATCTCTAAAAATCTGCTGGACCGATTTTGACGGGACTTTCACTGGTTAGATAGCTGACGTTATAAAGAGTTACTTAGGCTACTTTTACTTTAGAAAAAGAATCAGGGTAAAAAAACTAGTAGTCACTGACTAGTCGCCGACTATATATATGGCCGGATAGTCGGCTTTACTGACTAGTCGGCCACTAGTCGGTACATATCTACTATATAATATGTGTAGTGTATCAACTATCTGGTATCCATAACGCAAGCCTCGTAACTTACCATGAAACGAGATGGTGCTTTGTGTTAATGTCCCAACATATTTATTTATTTAATATTATATTAATATATAAAATAAATATTTATAGTATGTTTGTATTCAGGCCTTTTTAAAGTCACACTTCTGGGCACGGACCTCCCTTTACGACAAGGGAAATCAGACCAAAGTTCACCGCGCTGGCCAAGTGTGAATTCGTGGACTTTACATGTCTTTCGAAAACTTAAGTTTTCTCAAACATAAGATATCCTTACGATATATTTAATATTAATATTAAATACCATTACAATATTTTTTTAATTCCCATTTCCCAGCAAATGGAGGAAATATATGCGGAAAGCGGAAACTACGGCAGGTTTTCATATAACATGAGATAGCTATAGCTTAGGACTACATGATGGAAAAATTGATCAAGAGCGAGTCAGTTTTACGAGGAAAAGGCAATTATGTAGATTGTACAATTTTGAAGTGCTTTCAATAAATATAAGAATCCTAAAATATGTATGAGATTCTTTACCTCATGACGAGTTTGACAGTATTACTTTTAATTTTTTTTTTTATTTACGCTAAACATTTTACATCAGTAAACATTTTTTTAACTTTATGGTACTTTATCTACTAAATGTTTTATAATAACCAGGCTTAATGTGCTTTCAAAATTTTTTAATTATTATGTTTACCCCAAATATGAACATAAGATCTAATAAGTATTTAAGAGAAATAAACTTACGTAGTGTTTATTCCAGGATTAATGCCATTCCTGTTGATGTACATGGTGGCCATGTCAGCAATAATTTCACGGAAACTTTCCTCGATGCGAATAAACTCATCTAAGGTTAGACCTGCAAGGTTGAGAGTGATAGTCGCTGGTGGTACAGGTATCACAGGTTCTGGTTCTGGCTCAGGTACTGGAGCTCCAAGTCTTGGAACTAGAAAATAAAATACCATATTAAAAAATATAACGTCTATTCATTAAAATTATTTGCTTTGATTTAAAAATTTGGTACTGTCGATATGTAAAGTATGGTTGGTAGAATGTCATTGGAATTGGGTAATTTCTAAGTTATTTATTATATTTATATTGTTCATGTTACAATGCAAAAATGATCTTAAAATGTGCTAGATATGTTAAATATGCCAACTACCTGAGTTTTACTTACCGACCATCCTTGCACTTATGTTAAAACCTCTCAGAACCTGCATTCCTTGTTTAGCTTCGAAACGCATAAACATTTGGTCAACATCAAGGAATCTATAACGTCTTGGAGAATTCAGTCGGTAGGAGAAGAGGAGGCCAGTAGAGCCAGATTCATCGACGCCACCTAAAAAATTTAGTATTTTAAGTAAATATTTGATTTTTTTTTATTATTGCTCATGAGAATTTAATTTTATTTCTTTAATTAATTAATTACGTAATTTTGACAAGTTATTTATCAACAATATCAAGGAAAACTGACAAAAAGTGGAAAATGAAATGGCTGAAAAAATATACAAATACAAAAAATACCTGGTTTTACAAGAAGATAATCACCAACGTGACCATTGACGGCGAATTCGGTTATATTTAATTCTATCCCCATACCATTACCGGTGAACATCCAGTCGGTGGTCTGGTTTGTAGGATAAGGCTCAGGAAACCCTGGAGATGTTATCACAACAGGTGTGTCTACATTAAGTTGGATTTGTGTTGCCTTTTTCACATCGCTCAAAGATATCTGCATTTTTTGTTGGTATCTTTCCGTAAAATCTTGCATTAGTTCATCAACTTCAGCACTTGATAATTCTTCTTTGGCGTCGATTGCGGTTGTCGAATTCAAAATTGTTTCCTGAGTTTCAGATTCTTTTCCTTCATGTGTGGTACTTGTTCGAAGAAGTTCTTCGTTAATGTTATCCTCTTTGTTTTCTGCCTCACTAGCGCTCAATGCATCATTAAGGTAAAGTATTGGTTCATTTAGTTTTATAGTTGTTTGCTTCAACTCTGATTCTTCAGGACTTTGATTATCAATAACCTCATCATTCTCATCTACATCAAAACTTCCATCGTTATCAGATTCATTATTTTCAAATATTTTTTCAAGATTATTGTCATTTATTTCTTCATAATCGTCATCCTCTAAAGATAATAATTTATTGGTTTTAGAATCAAGACCAATATCAAAATCAGCTTCGCTTACATCATCAGAATCTTTTAATTTGTTCCATGTCTCTTTAAGCTTATCTAAGTCTGACATTAAATCATTAAAAGCTTTATCTACAGTATCATCTTCAGCTGTTTCAGGTGAACCCTTATCTATGTATTCAAATGATTCATTGCTGTTTTTATCTTTAAACTCTTCATCAATGGAATCCGTATCATCATTATCTAATATTTTATTAGTTTCATCAAATATTTTTTTGAGATCTTCATCATTTTCTTCAATTTTAGTATCAGATTTTATTTCAGCAAAATCATTACCAGTGTCTTCATTCAATATAGCTTTTGTTTCTTCAATTATATCTTCATCGCTATAAATCTTTGTAGTACCCTGTAAATCTTTCTCTGTAGAACTAACACCATGATTTTCATTAATTGCAGTTGTTATATTTGTTTGCGATGTTACCGCATCAGTATTACTTTTAAAATCAGCAGAGGTTGTTTTTAAGAAAGCATGATTGTCATTCTCGCTTTGATCAGAAATTGTACTTTTAGCGTCCAAAGTATCTTCATTCACTACAGATCTATTATCTTCGAATTGGTATTCTTCAAAGTTATGTTCTGTGGTAACAATACTTTTAGTTTTACTAGTTTGCTTGTCTATGAAATCCGATAGTTCTTTTTTTAAATCATCGTCGTCTTTTTCATCTGACACAGCTATATTAGAAATGTCTTTTTCATTTTCGTCGAAAACGGGTTTGTCTAACATGTCTTCATACCAGTAGTCATCATACCAGCCATCTTCGTCACTGTTGAAACTTGTTACTATAACAAAAATATAGGGCTTGAATACTTGTTAAAATGACAAAAAATCAATTTAATTTAATGTTGTTGGAGATGTATTAACCTTATACTTTTATATTACACTAGCATTGCCCGCGGCTCCGCCCGCGTTCAAATGACCAAAAACCAAATTCTTAGGTTTTACATATTAGTATACTCTTACATTGCAGTTTTTGTATTTTTTCTCAGAAATGATATATTTTTCCGGGGGAAAAATATCCTACACGTTGACCCTGACAACCAGCTATCACCATACCTCTCATCAAAATCCCTTAAGTGATTTTTCTGTGAAGCAGTAACAGACAGACAGACAGGCAAAAACTCTAAAAACCATAGATTCGGCTTCCGTATCGATAATAATGTTTATATAGTTGATATAATGTACAGATTCGGCTTAGTTCCGATTTTATTAATGTATTTATATTATATTTCGTCTTTCACTTAAACAACTTTGTCAATCCATTCATCAAAAAAATCTTAAAATGTTAGTAATCTATACTTATTATAAAAATAAGTCCCCCGGCCGCGTCTTTCTGTCCTCCTGTCTGTCCTCCTGTCTGTCCTCCTGTCTGTCTGAACGCGATAAACTCGAAAACTACTGAACGGATTTTTATACGGTTTTCAACAATAGAAAGAGTAATTCTTGAGGAAGGTTTAGGTATATAATTTATTATGCTTTTATGTAAATTAGCTGAAATACGGCGACAAATGTTGAAGAGGTCGCAAAAAATCTCGCCAAATGGGAACTTTCCACGCGAACGCCGCGTAAACTAGCAAAGATACAGTTAAGTAATGTACTAGAGAATTCAAAATCTATAAAAATGCTACAAAAAAGTCCGCGATAGCATATCTCTATCTCTTACGGTTGACTTACAATAACCACTTTTATGTTAACATTTTTAATTAAAAACATTACGTTATTTTCAAAGTTATTTTCTTTAGTTCGGTATTAATCCTTATCCAAATGAATATTTTAGTTAGCTTAGTCATTTAATGCAGATTAAAATTGCTCTTTACACTAAATCAATCAGATGAATAGTTTTTGAGATATCGTTGTTAGAAGTAATTAGTAGCGAAACATTTTTAATGCTTGGCGAGCATTGATGCCTACGGCGAGTCCATCCCCTCTGCCCCGCATCGCTCGACCGCCTGCTCAAGCTATATAAACCGGGCGATGTAGCGCGCGATCCTAGGATACTTTTTACCGCGGGAAAATATCTTATTTCTGAGGAAAAATACAAAAACTGCAATGTAAGAGTATACTAATATGTAACACCTAAGAATTTAGTTTTTGGTCATCTGAACGCGGGCGGAGCCGCGGGCAATGCTAGTAATAATATAAAAATACAAATATAATTAGAATAAAACTCCTTGATGAATTTCTTCATCCATATTTACATAGATTTTTTAATAAATATAACAAATTTTGTAATAAAATATAACAAAATTGATTGTAATAATATTATTATACTTTCAAAAATGATAATTTCAATAACTAACTTTCTATTAACTCTGGTATCCGTAACACAAGCCTCGTAGCTTGCTATGGAACTAGATGGTGCTGTGTGTTAATGTCCCAACGTATTTATTTATTATATATTTTTCAATCATCATTTATGTGACGCAAATCAGTATTGTATTGCAATTAGACTGATATAAAATATAAATAAAGCCAATTTTTTTAAGCCGGTTGTATAGCAAAAAAATTATATAAGGTCCTCCAAACCGATGTTGGCCACAATGGTTAATCTCATTAAGACTCGGAGACTTTATGGTGCATAAAGTACAAAAACAATATTTCAAGACCGACGGCTACATGCTTTTCGAATTACAGAAGTAAAAAAACAGAAGAAATAAACACATTTTTTTCCAGAAAAACGCAACAACTACACTAGAATTGATCTGGAACCCGAACCCAGAACCTCCGGATCTACAGACGTGCATACCTACTAGAAATGAATGAATTACATATACTGATATAATGGAAAAAAATATATTCACGTATGTATAGTGCATATTTTTAATTGATTAAATACTGAATTTATTTGATATATAAACGCACGCACGACTTCGTCTTAGCAGTAACAAACAAATATTTTATCACAACTCTATAAGTTGTGATAAATATAACATTATTTCTTTGTTGTTTGCCAACTGCGTAAAAAATAACTACTTTCACTACATTCAATGGGTTTCGTTTTATTATATAAATAAATAGGTAGTAAGGTACATATAATCCATGTCTACAATAACAATTAATCTACGGAAAATCTAATCGCTTATATATAATAAGTACCTGGGCGACCGAGCTTCGCTCGGAGTTTTTGTCCAAAAAACATTAAAAAAAACCAACTAAGAATTTGAATAAATACAAAAAAAAACAAAATATAATATAAACTTTGTGTTCGACCAGGATACGAACCCAGACACGTGTGGTTGTTGACCATGGTTTTGACCATGATACTTATATCTGAGCGTGCGAAATTATCGAACATAATATTTTGCGTGGAATTATTAATTTATTGAAATAATGCAAAAGAAATCATAATAATAATAAAGCTTTATTTATTGTATACATGCTTACTTATAATTTTAAATTATAATTACTCTTAATTAACAATTTTTAACATTGTATTTTAACAGATCATATTTATAACTTATTTGATTATATTTAATTTAACTTCAATTTTTGGTTAGTGACTATTTATTAACTTATAATTTTTTAACTAATAATTTTGTAATCTGGAATTAAATTATTTTAAAAATCTTTAATATTATTTGAAATGATATTGTATATAATATATAAATTATCATTAACAAATAAATCAAAATTAAACAATAACAATAAATTAAATAATTCAATAGAGTAGATACTAAGCATTTCACAATAATAAATATAAATAAAATTTCTTTCCATACATTAATTCTGACAATAGTTATAAATTAGGTATTTAATTTCATATTTAAATGTATTTATTTAGTAAATGTCTTTTTCATGTATAGACCCCTCTCGGTTAAAAGCCTCCTCCAAAGTAGTCCTGCATAGAGCTCTCCGGTGGAGATTATGCTTGTATGATTGCAAAGGGTTTCTTTTCAAATTTTGTTTCCAATATATAATTTGTTTCTGATATGCCTATAAAGTTTATAATTTTATCTTTGTGTTCTTTTGATTTGTTGTAGGAAATGCTGCTTTTAATTCTAGAAGTTTTTCTGGTGAAGATATGTATACCTTTGTTCATTGTATGTCTGTTTTTCTTTGGAGGGTTACGGTCGAACTCCCCCACAGTGACCGGCCGTACTGGGAGATAAAAATGAGGAGGTTCCTACTGTGTTTAATATACTGCTTGCTGTGTTGTTTTTAGTTGTTCCTGGTTATCATTTGTGTTGTTGAAAGTTAATTTTGGTTTTTGTAATATAAAGTCTTTAATATTAGCAGGTTTGGTTTTCTTTTGTATGTTGTTTATTTGTTAGTTTTTGTTTATAATTGAGGTAAGGCGTTTCTGGAGATACAGGTAGACTTCTTTTATTTGAGTATTGGCGAGACGTGTCCTTATTATTATCCACAGTAATTAGTTTGTCATATTTAATGAAAGCTGTTTTGCCTAGGTCTTTTTCTTTATCTTCAGTTGGGCTTGTAACTCCTTGCGTTTGTTTAAGACTATTTTTTCCTCTAGTTCATGATAGGATTTTTCACCTTCTTCTACTCCGAACATAACCAAGTTCTTGAGCCTAATATATATTTCTAAATTATTTATTGAGGTACTTACTTTGTTCCTGGATTTTTTTCTCAAGAACTTCAATTTTTATTTCTAAGTATTTAAATTTCTCGTTTAAGTATATTATTGTTGATTGTATTTTAATGTCTTCTTTCATTTCTAACATTTCTGTTTTCTGCTGTCTTATTTCTTGTTGCATGTTTATTAACAACTTTTTTATGTCCTCCATCTTATGTGTGAAGTTGGAAGTAGAAAAGCTGATTGAAAAAGAGCACCAATTATACCTAGTTGAATTGCAATTTTATACCGAGTATTAGTTTTTGAGGTTATAAACTTATGTTTTAATATTTTACGCTTTCACTTCACAAATTATTTTGTTTTAATGTCATCACACGCAGAAAAGATGGTTTTGCACTAATAGTATCTTTATGTTATGTTTGTCACTTTTGTATTTGTTTGTTAGGTGAAATTTTAAAAGCTCATTTGTTCTTCAACACATCAAGACTTGGTGATCAAGACTTGGTGAAATATTGCCCATAGTTTTATTGATTAATTTGTAAAAATTTACCACGTTTCTTTAGATTATTTCCACTTAAATATTTTTAAACTTGATGTGAATACGGACACGATGTTGACAGTTGCACAGTGGCGCCTCCCACCCACCAGAAGTGACAATGCAAAAATTGTGAAAATGCAGAAGAAAATCGCATGAAAATTCCAAAACTCGCGTTTTCCCAGATATAAGACTAATCAAGGTCGATTTATCTCCCCCGAAACCCCCAGTATGCTAAATTTCATGAAAATCGTTGGAGCCGTTTCCGAGATTCAGATTATATATTGATATTGATATATATATATATATATACAAGAATAGCTCGTTTAAATATATAAGATATAGATATCGATATTCAGAAGGATTTTTTGAGTTTTCATATCATTATAACATAATTTATAATTTTGTTTTTGTCTTTATTTTATACTTCTATCATCTATGACACATTATAAAGCTATCCAGTTATGATATCTATACATCGTATGTTCAACGTTACTCTGCACTTAAAAACCTGTTATTTTCAAAGGCAAAATTCGTACGAATAAAATTCAAGTTACTTTAAACTAAGAAAGTACTTATTAGTTTAAAAATTTTTTACTATAAAACATAAGCACAAGCTCATTTTATTAATAACAAAAAAATAAAAACCGACTTCAAACAAAAGCACTAAAAAGTAAAAAATAACTGATTGGTAGTTTTCATTTACTATACAT